CCCCAAAACCCCAAAACCCCAAAACCCCAAAACCCCAAAACCCCTTTATGATAAATAATATTTGAAATTTGAATTTAAATGTACGGATCAAGTAACTATCCCAATGTACCTAATCTGGGCATCCAGATTCCACAAACTTCGGTAATGCCACCCAACCAGGATGTTTTTGGTGTTCCAGGAGCAGAACTTCAGGATTTGGTTAGAAAGATAGACAATGTGCTCAAAAATGATGAAAAGATGACTGTAAAGACTGATAGCACTTTTTACCGAGATTTTGGACAGAACTTCTCATTACCTAAAGCTCATGTACCTGAAGTGCCCAGGACAGGATCTCCTATCAGAATTCAGAGTAAATATCAACTATCTCTAAATCAGGATTACCTTCCTCAACAGAATCATCATGAGCCAATGAATAACTATTTTCAGGAAAACATTACAGGAGGCAAAAAGTCTCTTGATTCTATTCTCAGAGAAATTTCGAAAATTAACACAGATCTTGACAATATCACTCCTTCAGCTTACACTCCAAAGCCAGGACACTACCAGCAAAGCCATACTGCTCCTCGGTACATTCCTTTATCAAAGCCTTCACCAACTCCGATGGCTTCAGTTCCAAAAGAAGATACTTTAGATGCAATTATTGATAACATACAGGTAAGTAGAAGGTTTTAATAGAGGTGTAGAATTTATCTAAAATTCAACTGAAGAAACCGATAGATAGCCGCTATTACCCTCAGGACAAAGCCAGTCATTCATATATCGAGCAATAGTAAGGAAATTATAGATATTTGAAATAATTTATATAGCAAGAAGCCTGAGTTTATAGAAGCTCCAAGGGAACCTAAAGTCATCCAGATTCCACAGATGCAGAATTATGAGCCAAAAGAAGATCTCAGAGAGAGGTTTGAGAGAAAGCCCAGTAGAAGTGTAACTCCATTGAGGTCAAATATCAACAGAGTTGAGATGACACCTGTAAAGTATCAGCCTATCTTTGAACCTAAAGAGAATGAAGATCCAAATGGTAAGGTTTTATTCTAAGTCTAAATTTATAACTTTTTGGATGTATATTTTTATATCCTAATTTTCTAGATCTTCCTATAAAAGAGCAAGCAGTTGAAGTAAAAGAGGAGAAAAAGCAAGAGTCTGAGCCTGAAATCCCTGTGAAGCAAGTGTTAACTCAGAATCGCTCTGTCCAGGTAAAATAGTTCTTAACAAGAAAACTAAAGTTTTCATTACCTTCCTTGTAAAGTATATCTAAATAAATTAATCTCAAATTCAGTGCTATTCTAATTATGAAAAAACCAATTTGCAAAATAGGATTTCAGAGGGAACAGTGGTTCAAAAGTTCCTTTAAGACAACAAAGTGCGAATAACTATCAAAAAACTCTGGAGAATATCAGAAATAGAACACCTAGCAAGCTTAACTCCTTGGAAGAAGTGTATAGAGCGAGGGAGAAAGACCAAAAAGTGACGGTTCAAATGAGTTCTAAATTCATAAACCTCCCTACAAACATCAGACGTGGGATAAAATAATTTCAATGGCAAACTTCTTCTGGGGTTTTGGGGTTTTGGGGTTTTGGGGTTTTGGGG